TATTGCAATAAAACGGCAATTTCATACTTTAACCCCTAATATTTACTAATAAGCCAGTACCATACGCTCCGCGTATTTCTTACACAACCTGACTATACAATAAAATAAAAATAGGATTCATCACACGTTATGTATGTAGTAAAGTTCCATGATATAATTACCTTCAGCTGCCTGCGCCCGTCGTCTTTTAAGAGCTTCCAGTAGATCAGCGTTACTGCGGAATGGCCTAACTCCGCCTGCGACCAGCTTCTTGCCCTCTGTGGAAGAGGACGGCGCCTCTGTTGATGGTTCTTGTGCCTCATCGACGTAGTCCGCTTCGTCTTCATACTCCGTTTCTTCCTAGAAAACGTTTGAAATAAATTAATGACAAATCCCGGGCATTTCAAGCGTACTTATAAAGGATGCTGGAGGTCAATGCACTTTAACGCATTTTGTTTACGGGCCACTGTATAAGGGGACTACAATAGGCATGCGTCACCCCAGTATATGTAATAATATAATTTCGGTACATTCAGTACCTGATAGAAAAGTTATACCGCTAACAAACGAAAATGAATGAATGAAAATGAATTGATTTAACATCCACAACGGATCCAGGTAATAACCGTTACACTACGAACAATAACTTTTTTGGACGCGTATCGTATTGTGACGACACAATATGACAGTACCGACGATGTAGCAAGATTCTAGAAGAAAGGTAAGCTATCAGAGGTCAAGTGTGAAGGTTGACCGGACAGGCCAACTCGCCTTGAACCAGATAAGAAAACAATATTATTTGCGAAATACATATACCTACTTACTATAAGAACATTTTAATATAGCTATAAGCATTAATTATATAAAACTTAAGGCCTTGACCTTTCATTCCAAATTCGATACCTATTTAAATTATGTAAAGTTATTTTCTTTGAGTGACATCAGTCAATAATAAAAAAAACACCAAAAACAAACTTTATCTCGTAATAAATACTTATATTTGTATATCTATATCGTGTATATGTATATCGATCTTTGTATTAATAATTATAACAAACTCGTAGAG